CAGTTGGGATAGATGTAGTGTAATACTAAGAATAAAATTATTATATTCTCAAATTTTCGGGAAAATGAATTGGGTCGTTTTGAATATTGATTTGTAATAATCAATAAAATAACGAAACAATTTACTCACGTATACGTATCAGAGGCAACTGAAAATCGTGTATGTATAAACATTCTTAATTTAAGATGACAGGCGTAACAGCATACGTGAGAGTCAAACAGAGAAACTGTAAACAAAACGACCATCGGTTTTATTCCTTCGACTTCCGCTTATTATATAAAACATTGGGTTTTATTTTAATTCTTGACGGTGAAATTCACAATTGGTTGATTATAAACATGTCTATTTCACATTCGCGGAACCAAGTGAGCGCATAAAACAAATGCAGGTCTGTAATGTTAAAGTCGATGTAAATAAGCGTGCTACCCTTATGTTTTTGAACCACCTCTTAAGAAAATCTAAAAAATATGAATGGAATGATATATCACAAGTACAAACTCATCATATTTTTTGCATTTTAGATAGGATTTATTCAGCAAAATTTAAGGGTGACGTCATCAATTTTTTTAGGAGGGATGAACAAATACATTTTGAACAAAAGTTAAAATGCTTATAATAACTTTAAAATATTCCCAAGATTTCAAAGCATTCGGTTTTGTAATTCCTGATTAAATCGATAAAATAAATTCACGCCTTCATTAATTTTTTTGAGTCACCCTGCATATGCAAATCCAAAAATATGAATGGAATGATAAATCACAAGTACAGACTCATCATATTTTGTACATTTTAGATACGATTTATTCGGCAAAATTTTGAGCTGACGTCATCAGTTTTTTGTAGAAGATAACCAAATATATTTTGACTAAAAATTTATTATGCTCTTTATAACCTTAAAACATCTGCAAGATTTCAAAGCATTCGGTTTTGTAGTTCCTGATTAAATCAATAAAATAAATTTACGCATTCATTAATTTTTTTGAGTCACCCTGTATATGCAAATCGAAAAAATTTGAATGGAATGATAAATGACAAGAAGAGACTCACCATATTTTGTACATTTTAGATAGGATTTATTCAGCAAAATTTTGTGGTGACGTCATAATTTTTTTAGGGGGGACGACCAAATACGTTTTGATCAAAAATTTACCATGCTTATGATAATTTTAAAATATCTTCAAGATTTCGAAGCATTCGGTTTTGTAGTTCCTGAGTAAATCAGTAAAATAAATTTACGCTTTCATTTATTTTCTTGAATCACCCTGTATATGCAAATCCAAAAAATATGAATGGAGTGATAGATTACAAGTACAGACTGATCATATTTTGTACATTTTAGATATGATTTATTCGGCAAATTTTCGAGCTGACGTCATCAAGTTTTTGGAGGGGATAAGCAAATATATTTTGACTAAACATTTATTATGCTCTTTATGACCTTAAAACATCTGCAAGATTTCAGAGCATACGGTTTTGTAGTTCCTGATTAAATCAATAAAATATATTTACGCATTCATTAATTTTTTTGAGTCACCCTGTATATGCAAATCCAAAAAATATGAATGGAGTGATAGATCACAAGTACAGACTCATCATATTTTGTACATTTTAGATATGATTTATTCCACAAACTTTTGAGCTGACGTCATCAAGTTTTTGGAGGGGATAAGCAAATATTTTTTGACTAAAGATTTATGATGCTCTTTATAGCCTTAAAACATCTGCAACATTTCAAAGCATTCTGGTTAGCAGATTAAAAATTAAATTTCAAAATGTTGTTTTATAATTTTGATTTTTTTTCCAAAAATCTGGACGTTTCGGGCGAAAAGTCGATTCAGAGTTGTAAACTACATGTGTAGGACTATGTTATTTTATACAATTGAAAACCCATTTACTATGTACAATTTTGAAGTGACGTCATCGCATTAGTGGTGGGGATGATTAGACAAATTTTGGTTAGCGTTTTACCATCTACATGATATTCTTAATATAAGTACAAAATTTCACAACAATCGGTCGAGTACTTTCGGAGATTATCTGTCTAATAAAAATCCGGGGGCAGACGGACAGACGGACGGACAGACGGACGGACAGACGGACAGACGGACAGACGGAAATGGGAGACCTATTTCTTCGTCGTCTAGGGGTCATGAAAGATCGAGAAAACGTAAAAGTAGAGAGTCGGCCGACGGACTCGATTACAATACTTCCTTTGCTTACGCTCGGGAAGTAAAAATTGGAAAAGTTGAAAAAAAATCTTGGGGCCTAAAATAATCTTAGGGCCGTTATTGTTTTGTTGTTGAAGGAATCAGAAAGAATGTTGGGGTCCTTTATTTCTCTTTTTTACGAATTTAAAGAAATCCTGATATTACGTTTTTGGAAAAATTTTAAGGAATGTTGGGGGTTCCAGTAATTTGTTTATGAAAAATATTTCAAAAATCTTGGGATCCCTTGTATTTTGTTCTTGAAAGAATTTGAAAGAGTCTTGGGGTACCTATTGCCTTTTTTTAAGAATTTAAAAGAAGGGTAGGATCCATACTACATTTTTAAAGATATTAAAAATACCTTGGGAGGCCATGGTGTTTTAAAACAGCTCTGAAAAAATCTTTGAAGTCTTTGGTGTTTGGGTTTTGGAACCATTTGAAAGAATCTTGGGACCCTGATCTGTTATTGTTGACGGAATTCGAAAGAATTTTGGAGTCTTTGGTGTCTCCTTTTTACAAATGTAAACATATCCTGGGAGTTCTTGACGTACGTTTTTGAAAAAAAAAAAAAAATCGAAAGAATGTTGGGGCCTTTAGTGTTTTATGAAAAAAGTTACAAGAATCTTGAGTTTCCTCGTGTTTTGCTCTTGAAAGAATTTGAAAGAATCTTCAGGTCTCTACCGTTTTTTTTGATAGGATTTAAAAGAGATTAAAAAACTTAGGAATCCCGTGGTCTTTTATTTTAAAACGGTTCCGAAAAAATCTTGGGGACCCTTAGTGCTTGGTTTTTTGAAACCATTTAAAAGACTCTTGGGATCCTGATTCTTGACAAAATTGGGATTTTGGGATGTCTGTCTTTTTTTATTTCGAAAAAATTTAAGATGATTTTGGGGTCTTTGGTGTCTCTTTTTACAAATATAAACACATATTAAGAGTCGTTGATGTACGTTTTTGAAAAAAATTTGAAAGAATCTTGGGGGCCTTTAGTGTTTTATGCAAAAAATTACAAGAATCTTGGGTTTCCTCGTGTTTTATTCTTGAAAGAATTTGAAAGAATCTTCAGGTCTCTACCGTCTCTTTTTGAAAAATTTAAAACAGAAAAAATCCTTGGAATCCTGTGGTATTTTGTTTTAACGGTTCCGAAAAAATCTTAGGGACCCTTAGTGCTTGGTTTTTTGAAACCATTTAAAAGAATTTTGTTTTTGAAGGAATTTGAAAGAATTTTGGGGGGTCCACCTCTTTTCATTTCGAAAACATTTTAAAGACTGTTGGAGACCCTGGTGTTTTATTTTTGAAGAAATCTGAAAGAAACTTCGAATCTTTGATTTATCTTTTTTTAGAAATTGAAAGACATATTGGGAGTGCTTGATGTGCGTTTTTGAAAAGAATTGAAAGAATCTTGTTAACCCTGCTTTTTTGTTGTTGAAAGAATTTTGGAGCCCTTTATTTTTTTTTTAATTCATAGGAATTTTAGAGGTCCTCTATGTTGCGTTTTTATGAAAAAAGTTACAAGAATCTTGGGTTTCCTCGTGTTTTGTCCTTGAAAGAATTTGTAATATTCTTGGGAGCTCTGCCATTTATCATTTCGAAAAAATTTACGATCTCTGCTATACCGGGTGTCTGTAAAATCGCGGAGTGGGGGCCCCTGGTGATTTTGAAAACATTTGAGGGAATTTTGGGATCTCCCCGTGTCTTTTTTTTTAAGAATCCAGTGGTCCCTATGATTTGATTATTTAAAATGATGTTTTATTTTTGGAATAAATTGCGAGAATCCTGAGAGCCTTTGCCAAATGTCCATAACTAGTAAGTTATAGTAATTTTAATACACAATTTTTAATCTTGCGAGTCCAGATTTTTTGTAGAAAATTTGAAACTGCAATAAAACTTTAGTTTCATTTGAATTTTAGTATATGCTTTGAAGTAATCATAAGCTGATGGAACAAAACGTTGATTACGTTACCTCAAAATTCGCTAAGTGAATCCTATTTATAATGTCTACCTCGAGTGCGAGAGAAATTATGTCTAAATCGCTTTAGATCATTTTGTTGTCGTTTGATTTCAGCGATCCTCTTGAAAGCTGATAAATTTGCATTTTGACGAGCTATTTTGAAGTGTCAAGTCTAGTCTAGCAGCTAAATATCGATTCTCAAGGTAATTTGACTAACTTGTCACGGGTTAGTACTTTTTATCAGTAAAAAGAGCAAAGTGTTTGGGATGAATGGAAACAAATTCCGAGGACGCACACAAAGCAGACACAGCGGGATCTAACAAAACATCCCCGAATATGGTGTGCATGTAGGCCCATTCGACCCGTACTTCCGAACTTGTTTGAATAGTAATTTATTTTGCAAGTTTTCGTGTAGATTTCCCGAACAGGAAACGTCCCGACGCTTATTTCGGCGATTTGTAGTTCCATACGAGTTTTTCGTCGCAATTAATAATAGATTAGCGTCGAAAGAAAAATGCGAGTACGCCATTACACCGATCCGGCTTCGAATTATTTATAATAATTTATGATAAGCACGTTTTCACACAATTTTCCCATTAAAAACAGATATTTGGAAGAGAGGGCATTAATCATCGGCAGCAGCAGTGCAGCAGGCAACAAATTTCGAACCCATTTACGAGCACGTACCGACCCAAACATCACATTTGCTGCCACCGAAACGAATAAATTGTATAGTAGCAAACACTACGGCCGGAAACTAAATTAACATGCCCCCATTAGGCCTCTGCTTAATCCCACGTTATAAATCCCTCCAAGTCGAAATGTTCAATGTTTGCTTGTCGTTTCAGCCGCGCTCAGATTCACGGACACTGCCACCAACCAGTCGGCGTATGAAGGAGAAGAGTTCCTGCTCAAGTGCGAGGTGGAGGGCGGCACGGTCTCGTGGGCGGCGGAAGGAGGGGCCATAATTGAACGTAAGTACCTCGGAAAAAGTCTCTTCCTGATAAAAATCTCCAAGCGCAGCGGTTTCACCACCTGATTCTTGTTCCTTTTTAAGAAAATTTCCTTCATAAAGATTATACAATCTACACAACACTTTTTTTTTTATTTTACTAAAACAGGTAATAGTCACAATTTGCCGTGCGGAAAAAATAGAAACATTGCTATAGAGGATTTTGCTGTTGCTGCAAAAAATGCTTTTAGTTTTTGTAGGTCAAATCAGGTCATTGCGCGCCAAATCACGTTGTGTCGATTTTAGCCAATAGATGCGTTGTAGAAACGTCGTCGATGTTGTGCGGGAGATCGCCCAACACTCTGTAAAGGTCGATAAAATTAGTGTCGGTTATGAGGGTTCGATAAAATGGGTTGGCACAAGGGGCTTGATTAGTTTGTGCGAACGGTGATCACATTGGTCTATAAATTTTTGTTGAAGAGGTCTTATTTATCTTCTTTGACGAGGAAATAGTCGCTACATTTTTTTTTTTTTTTAATAATTTGATAACGTGTTTCATTATTTTTGCATTAAGTCCGTGTACATCCGAGCTGAAATACTTATTCAAATTTTTCCAGTCTAAAAAATAAAGAACAATGATTTTGTTTAATTGGTGGTACTGATTTAATTTGTCTACCTTTGGTAAGTTATCAGCAAGTATATTACTATAATATGAATTAAAATTTTCGGAATTAATGGAGAAGTAACATTGTTTGAGTTTTTCATAAAAACAATGTTTAATTAAATTCCGTATCCTCTTAATATTCTTTTATTTAATGTTTCCGAATCGCATGCACAGCTAATTGAAGATAAAGTACAACATGACTTACACAAAGTTATGTTGATTTTTAATCCCACTGGATCTTTCCGTCAATCCGGTAAGATATTTCGCCTTGCTGCATCTATCGTAAATTTAACTTCGCACGTCCTTTGAAAACGGTCTTTGAGTCTGGAGAAGCTAAAAGTATCCTGAAATCCAATAGGAGCAACACTAACAAATATTACACTTTCGTCCTGATTTAACTAAATTATAAAGAAAATCGAAAGCACAATTTTGAAAAAGGGGTTTCGCGTTTATTCACTAAAAAATAAAGAAATCATCAGTTGAATTAAAGACGAACAAGTCATAAGTTGTAGTATGTGATCAGGCAAATAAATATCGTGTGTGTCAGCAACATAAAATTTATAGCTTAACCAGACTAGATCAGAGTCCTGAAAAATTAACAATTATAAATTTTTTGAAATTTATGAATTAGTTTCACTTAATTTTAAAGTAATTTTTGATAATTTGTCACAACTTTCTTTAATGCATTAAAGCGGTTCTTGGTTTAAGGTGTAACATTTTTTTTTTTTAAAGAAAGAAAGAATAAATAATAAAAGTCAAACTTGAAGGAGATTCTAAATGTAGCTAAACGAATGATTAAAATTTTGTTTCCAAGAAGTCATCTGAAAACATAGATGCTTCCAAAGTAAGAATAATAGAGTTAAAGTTTCAACGAGATTCTAAATCTACTCGTAGCGAGATGGAGAATGAGTATTTTATTTCTAATGAAAATCGTCTAAAATCACTATTTTTACAAGGGATAAAACTTGAAGGATATTCTAAATCTAGCCAAATTAAAGAGCATTTTTTTTTTCAAAAGCACCATCTAAAGCCACAGAGGATTCCGAAGAAAGAATAAAAATAAATGTAAATCTTGAGATTCTAGTAAGTCTACTGAAGTAAAGAACGAAACTTTTGTTTCTATAAAAATTGCCTAAAATTACAAATATTTTGAAAGAAAGAATAATAAAAATAAAACTTGAAGGGGATGAATATTTTTTCCAGAAATCATCTGAAAACATAGATTTTTTGAAAGTAAGAATAATAGAGGAAAGTTTCAACGATATTCTAAATCTAACAAAAGGAACAATGAAAATTTTATTTCTAAAGAAAAGCGTCTATAATTACAAATTTTCCAAAAAAGGGAAAATAGGAATAGAATTTGAAAGTACTCTAAATCTAGTCAAGTTAAAGAGGAAGATTTTATTTCAAAAACACTATCTAAAGGCACAAATGGGTCCAAAGAAATAATAAAAATAAATGTAAAACTTGAGATTCTAAATCTACTGAAGTGAAAATGAAAATTTTATTTCTACAAAAATCTTCCAGAATCCCAAATGTTTTGAAAGAAAGAATAATAGAAATAAAACTTTCTAAATCTAGAAGGTAAAAATTTTATTTTCCAGGGATCATCTGAAGATACAGATGCTTCAAAAGAAAGAATAATCGATGTAAAGCTAGAAACGAGATTCTAAATATACCCAAATGAAGATTGAAGATTTCATATCTAAGGAAAATCGTCGAAACTAAAATATCACAAATTAAAAAAAGAATAATTCAGATAATATTTGAAGGATATTCTGAATCTAGCCAAATTAAAGAGGAAGATTTTATTTCCAACGAATTATCTAAACAGACAGTTGGTTCCAAAGAGATTCTAAGTATATTCAAGTGAAGAATGAAAATTTTATTTCTATAAAAATCGCCTAAAATCACAAATATTTTGAAAGAAAGAATAATAAAAGTAAAGCTTGAAGTAGATTCTAAATCTAGCCAAACGAAAGATGAAGATTTTTTTTCCAGGAATCATCTGAAGACACAGATGCTTCCAAAGTATGAATAATAGAGGTAAAGTTTCAACGAGATTCTAAACCTAACTAAATAAGATTGAGGATTTTATTTCTAACGAAAATCGTCTATAATTACTGATTTTTCAAAAAAAAATCGAAAATAGGAATAGAACTTGAAGGATTTCTAAATCTAGTCAAATTAAAGAGGAAATAACAAATGTTTTGAAAGAAAGAATAATAGAAATAAAACTTGAAGAAGATCCTAAATCTTGGCAAACAGGAGATGAAAATTTTATATTCCAGGATTCATTTGAAGGCACAAATGCTTCAAAAGAAAAAATAATAGACGTAAAGCTTGAACGAGATTCTAAATCTAGCCGGATGAAAATCGGGGATTTCATACCTAAAGAAAATGGTCTAAACTCACAATTTAAAAAAAAAGGATAATGGAGATGAAATTTGAAGGATATTCTAAATCTATCTAAATTAAAGAGGAAGATTTTATTTCCAAGGAATTAGCTAAAGGGTCAGTAGGTTCCAAAGAGATTCTAAGTCTACTGAAGTGAAGAATGAAAATTTTATTTCTATAAAAATTTTCTAAAATCCCAAATGTTTTGAAAGAGAGAATAAGAGAAATAAAACTTGAGGAAGATCCTAAATCTAGGCAAACAGAGGATGAAAATTTTTCATAATTTATCTGAAGACACAAATGACAGAATAATAGACGTGAAGCTTGAACAAGATTCTAACTCTAGCCAAATGAAGACTGAGGATTTCATATCTAAAGAAAATCGTCTAAAGTCACAAATTAAAAAAAAAAAAGGATAATGGAGATAAAATTTGCAGGATATTCTAAATCTAGCCAAATTACAGAGGAAGATTTTATTTTCAAGGTATTATCTAAAGACGCAGATGGTTCCAAAGAGATTCTAAGTCTACTGAAGTGAAGAATGAAAATGTTATTTCTATAAAAATGTTCTAAAATCCCAAATGTTTTGAAAGAAAGAATAAGAGAAATGAAATTTGAAGATCCTAAATCTAGGCAAACAGGAGATTAACATTTTATTTTCCAGGAATCATCTGTAGACACAGATGCTTCAAAAGCAAGAATAATAGACGTAAATCTTGAAGGAGACTCTAAATCTAGAGAAATGAAGATTGAGGATTTCATATCTAAAGAAAATCGTCTAAAGTTACAAATTAAAAAAAAGATAATGGAGATAAAATTTCAAGATTATTCTAAATCTAGCCAAATTAAAGAGGAAGATTTTATTTCCAAGGAATTATCTAAAGAGACAGTTGGTTCTAATGAGATTCTAAGTTTACTGAAGTGAAGAATGAAAATTTTATTTCTATAACAATCGCCTAAAAACACAAAGTTTTGAGAGAAAGAATAATAAACTAGAACTTGAAGGAGAGATTCTAAATCTAGCTAAACGAAAGATGACGATTTTATTTTCCAGGAATCATTTGAAGACATAGATGTTTCCAAATAAAGAACAATGGACGTAATGAAGAAATGAAGAGTGAGGAATTTATTTCTAACGAAAATCGTCTAAAGTCACAAATTAAAAAAAAAGATAATGGAGATAAAATTTGCAAATTAAAAATCACAAAGTTTTGAGAGAAAGAATAATATCTAGCTAAACGAAAGCTGACGATTTTATTTTCCAGGAATCATTTGAAGACATAGATGTTTCCAAATAAAGAATAACAGACGTAATGAAGAAATGAAGAGTGAGGAATTTATTTCTAAAGAAAAACGTCTAAAATCACATTTTTTCTAGAAAAAAGGATAATAGGGATAAAACTTGAAGGATATTCAAAATTTAGTCAAATTATAAAGGAAGATTTTATTTTCAAGGCAAGGCATTATCTAAAGATACAGAAACAAAGGGATTCTAAGTGAAGAATGAAAATTTTGTTTCTACAAAAATCGCTGAAATCACAAATATTAAAAAAAAAATGAATCATAAGAATAACACTTGAAGGAGTTTCTAAATCCAGCCAAATGAAGATCGAGAATTTTATTTTAAAAGAAAATCGTCTAAAATAACAAAGAATAAAAATAAATGTAAACCTTGAACAAGATTTTAAATCTACTGAAGTGAAAAATGAAAATTTCCTTTTCAAAAATCGTCTAAAAATGATTCTGCAGAGGAATCTGAAAAATCACAAATTACTAAATATATATATAAAATAATGTTCGAAAATGATTATTATCGTCTAAAAAACCCATAAAGAGGTGTTTTTGATTTTGGGAAGGTGCGTTATATGCTAGAAGAAATAAGAATTCATCACTTGACGAGCAAGTCATAAGTTGTAGTATGTGATCAGTTGTGTCAGCAACACAAAATTCATAGCTTAACACCAAGCAGACTAGATCAGAGACTTGAAAAATTAAGAACTATTTTTTTTAATTTATGAATTAGTACGCTGTTTCACCTAATTTTAAAGTAATTTTTGATAATTTGTTAATTTGTCATTTCCAAATGTTCATTCGATGTCTGACGACTTCTAAAAAAGTTTCTTTAACGCTTTAATACGGTTCTTGGCTTTCGAAACATTTTAAGGTGTAACATACTTGATTCTGGGGGAGGTGTGGTATATGCTAGCAAAAATTGAATTTGTTAAATATGCGCCCAGAGTGCCACCGCGGAAAGCAAATTTTAACCCTCACGTTGGTAAATAACGCGAGAGCACTTAAGGCGCCCTGCTTCAGTTCTCATTCGAAAATCAACTATGCTAAGAAAGTGCGTTATATCTTATCGCAAATTAAAATTTGTCAAGATATGCGTTCGGGGAGTGTCGCCGTGGGAACCAAACTTCATTCTATAAAAAATATACAACACGCTAGCATTTAACGTATTTACATTCCTCTCAAACATTTGCGAGATATTCAAGACGAACCATCCCCCGAGACATTTTTCGAGAGCATCGCATTATAATAATTTGAAACTTCGTTACAACGTGACAAACCTCACAATTTCCTCCCGTTTGACCATATTTCAGGCTATCTCCGGCCATTTTCCCAAAGTGTTTGTTTTAATTCTGACACGTTTATGGAACGGTGAGGCGAGTCCGATAAAAGAGGATGTAAAGGAGGGAAAAAAGCGATCGTTTATAACGCGACCATCTTGGAGCGCTCCACTGTAGCAGTGAAGCAATTTTAGAAGGGAATTTTCTTTCATAAAGGAAGTGAAATGCTTCGAGATATTAGAACATTAAAAGTCACGCTCCATTAAAGATATTCTCCTGGCGCTGCATTGTCCTTAAAAATTTGTTGTTTGTAATTCAATAGCCGGACGAATTTATAAAGATTTTTGTTTTGGCGATTCTTTAGCCGACTTAATTCGGCGCCGAGACGTGACTGCCTTTATTAAATCTTTCTGTTTTCCGGCTTGGACTAATCAGAAAAGTACACAGAACAAAGCGAGGCCGGGGCAGATTTTTCTTGATTCTTGCGATTTTTCTCGGTTTACGGAGCAGAGTAATATATTTCGAACAATTTCTCTTTGTTTTGTGCACAAACAAAGTTAAGCAGCTCTTTGAAGTCGGGGCAGCGGCTCGTGTTGCAGATAATGCAGTTGCTACGATGTCTTTGTGCGGCAGACTGATGTGACTTTAATTTAAAAATCATCAATTTTAATTCGAGAGAGAGACAACGCGGCCTTGTTTCATATTTTTCTTCGAGATTGATTCAATCTTCCAGCTACTAGATCGTATTTCCTTCACTGCCAGACGTAACACCTCCCCCCGGTTTTCCTTGCTTACTCAACGCGATTTCTTTTCTCAGATACCGAAAAGTTCAAAGTGATAGCCGACGGTCTCGTCATCAGGAATGTGTCGAGGCACGACAGTCAGACGTTCATTTGCAAGGGGGTCCAACAAAGGACTGGGATGGTCCTCGACCGGAAGATCCACTTCCACGTCAAACGTAAGTACCCAAGTCAGGTGCGCCAATTTACATAAAAATCCATAGCTATACATGTTAAGAGGTCAAAAAAAGTTTCGTTTTCCAACAAATTTCCCTAGAACCGGCACTGAAATATTCATGGGATCGACGCGCACAAAGATAGACGTTAGCGGGGCCTGCTGAACCTGTTTTATTACCGATTCTGACCCTGGACGAAAGCCATAAACCACCACCGTAATTTATTTGCTGAAAGGAAATAGGAAAAAATAAGGGAGTGTATGCAAGATGGGGTATTGTCTGGAGTTTCATGCTTTTGATAAATCTCGATCTGGTATTAAATCGAGCTGAAAGGGATTTTAGGAGAGTTGAATCGGGACGATATAAAACGAGCTTGAGCCGATTACGGGATGGACCGGTAGGCAGATGACGTGGCGCGATTTTTTGGCAACCAGATCTCAAAAATGGGGCGAGAAATCGAGGGTCCGAATTCATTTTATAAAGAAAAATGTCTGCACACCTTTTTAAGATTTCTTGACACATTTATGCAAATAACAAATAAAATAAAATTTAAAAAAATACACAAACAACGCGGAACATTTTATTTTGAAGTATTTTATCACTTTAAAGATTGATGTGGAGTGGATTTATCGTTCCGTGTCGTTCTCGGTGCTTTCGACCGAATAAAGCGGGCCGTTCGTGAGTCCATTAAAAAAAAAACAAATACGTATATTGTAAGTGTTCATATTCAGCTGCTTCCTGTATTTTTTTATGTCACTATGTCAGTTTTGTAAACACTACTTAATCTCTTTTATTTATTTTATTCATGGATTTGTATTGTCGATTCTACTGTAATTCAATCTCTATTTATTTGTTTAATTCGTTCAGTTTTAATCAGACTATGTTTAAGTGATTTTCATTTATTTAATTTATTTAAGTCCCATTAATATAAATTACGGACTGAGGACTAAAAAGTTGAGACCTTAGTGTTTATTTATGGCCACTTCTCATAAACATGTAACGTTAAAGCGAATTAATTAATAGCCTTATTTAATTAATTAGTTGTATCGGTTATATCAATTTAAATCTACGTTAGAGCTGAATTTATTTCCAAAAGTTATAGTTCATGTGATTTAGTTATGTAATTATGGAAATTGTAGTTCAGGTCAATCCAACAATCTTTATTTAATTAAATATATTTTTTTGTGTTATCTAAACCTTATGAGTAAAAAAATGTACATAAAGTCAATCACAGTGTAAAATGTTACTATATATTTGGACTTGAGAAAATCTGGGTACGGAGGCCAAACAATCAAGGGCCATTCATAAACCACAACTACAGGAGTATGTTGTTTTATAAAGTTTAAATAGCATTTACCATGCAAAATTTTGCAGTGACGTCATCAAATTGTTGATGGAGATGATCAGACAAATTCTGGTTAGCGTCTTACTATGTACACTATATTCTTGAACTATCTAGAAAATTTGAGAACAATATTCACCATCCGATGATTAAAAACATTTTTGGGACCTGTGTTGTCGTAGAAGAAACCTCTATCACCCAAAATCTATTAACACGAACTAAAATAGCGACATTGACGGACGGATTTATCCGACGGTGTTATTTTTTGGGAAATGTCAATTTTTTAATTTTTTTTTTAAGTTCACTCAGACATCTGTTGAGCTCTGATTTTGTTCAGAAACGCCAAATTAGTTCACAGAGCAATTTTCAGACAAATCGGGGCCCGTTTAAACGAAAGAATTTGACATGGTTTATTCTGATAATTCACAATACAAAAAAATTGCTGGAATGTTATTTCGACAGAACTTTCCTCGTTCCTGAAGTGCGACCAAATTAATCCCACTTCTCTGAAAAATTATCATTTCTTTTTGCGATTTCCGTTTTCTGATAACCTCTCTAAAGTAAAAACCAGTGGCGTAAATAACGCTTCCGCAGCTTATTTGACTTGAATGTTTTCCTCAATTTTTCATTTTTGTTTTGTTAATTCATTTTTTCGATTTGCATTTTTTCTAGTTCTCAAGCTTAGATTTTTCAATTTTTCCAATTTTCAATTCAATTTGTAGATATTGGAATTTTCCGATTTGAGTTTCTCGAGTTTTTCATTTTTAATTTTTCCATGTCTAATTTTTCGTTTCAGTTTTTATTTTCTTTATTTTTACACTTTTTCAATGTTCCGCTTTTATAATGTTTTGTTTTTTACTTCCCGAGCATAAGCAAAGGAAGTATTGTAATCGAGTCCGTCGGCCGACTTTTGTATTTTCACGACCTATCATGATCCCTAGAGGACGAAGAAATAGGTCTCCCGTTTCCGTCTGTCTGTCCGTCCGTCCGTCTATCTGTCCGTCTGTCTGTCCGTCTATCCGTCTGTCTGCCGTCCCTGATTTTTATTAGACAGATAATCTCCGAAAGTACAGATTGTTGTCAAATTTTGTATTTATATTAGGTATATCATGCAAATGGTAAAACGCTAACCAAAATTTATCTAATCATCCCCACCACTAATGTGATGACGTCACTTCAAAATTGTACATAGTAATTGGGTTTTAAATTGTATCAAATAACATAGTCTTATACACATGTAGTTTATGACTCCAAATTGAGATTTTACCAGAACCGTCCAGCTTTTTGGAAAAAAATCAAAATTAGGAAACAACATTTTGACATTTAATTTGGAATCTACAAAACCGATTGTTTTGAAATCTTGCAGATGGTTTACAGTTTTGATAAGCATGATAAAATTTTAATCACAATATATTTACTCCCCTCCAAAAAATTGATGACCTCAACTCAAAAGTTTGCCTTAAAATGTATAAAATATGATGATTAATGAATGCGTCAATGTATTTTATTGGTTAAATCAGAAACTACAAAACCAAATGCTTTGAAACCTTGGAGATGTTTTAAAGTTATCATAAGCATGGCAAATTTTTGATCAAAATGTATTTGCTCATTCTCCTTAAAAAATTGATGACGACACCCCAAAATTTTGCTGAATAAATCCTAAAATGTACAAAATATGATGAGCCTGTATTTATAATTTATCATTCCATTCATATTTTTTGGATTTGCATATACAGGGTGAGTTAAAAAAAATGAATGCGTGAATTTATTTAATTGATTTAATCAGGAACTGCATTACGAAATGATTTGAAGTCTTGGAGATATTTTAAAGTTATCATAAGCATGGTAAACTTTTTATCAAAATGTATGGGCTCATTCCCCCTAAAAAAATTATAATGTCATCCCAAAATTTTGGTTAATAAATCCTATCTAAAATGTACAAAATATGATGAGCCTGTATTTGTAATTTATCATTCCATTCATATTTTTTGGATTTGCTTATACAGGGTGACGCAAAAATATTAATGAAGATGTGAATTTATTTTATTGATTTAATCAGAAACTACATAATCGAATGATTTGAAATCTTGGAGATGTTTTAAATTTATCATAAGCATGGTAGATTTTTGATCAAAATATATTTTCTCATCCCCCTTAAAAAATCGATGACGCCACCCCAAAATTTTGCTGAAAAAATCTTAAATGTGTAAAGAATAATCAGTCTATACGGGGTGTCTGAAAAACATTAATGAATGAGTCAATTAATTTTATTGATTAAATCAAGAATTGCAACACTGAATACTTTGAAATCTTGCAGACGTTTTAATGTCATTGTAAGCATGGTAAACTGTTAATCCAAATAAATCTGTTTATTTCCCCCAAAAAATTGACGACGTTGTCTCAAAATTTTGCGGAATAAATTCTACCCAAAATGTGCAAAATATGAGTTTTTACTTGTGATTCATCGTAGCATTCATATTTTTTATTGATCAAATTAAGAACGAATCATCCCATTTTTTGCAAAATATGAAAATACAAACGTCTTTATTTAATAAGAATTATAACAATGATATTCAGAACATTTTGTCGATTGTAGTTTACTAGTTAATTGTTTCGTTCCTCTGTTTTGAGCGGTCGAACATATTCAAAGCAAACTAATTTCCACGTGACATTCTTCCGATGTATAAACATAAACACTTTTTCTTATCGAGGAGTCCATTGGCCAATTTGGTACTCGTTTTTCGATATTTCATAACAGCATCCAAAAACCAAATAAAATGTAGTGTTTTATTCAATAAACGGAAGTCAGAGCAAAAAAAAGTCTGGACCGTTGCATTGTCATCCGGTTATTGCATTCGTAGAAACCATGTTTTAGTTTCGTTTGTATTTCACCGTCACGTCTACAGGTTGATAAGTGTTATGGCTTTTTGTCTTAAATTACAAGTACTATACAGGGTGTTCATTTTATCTGTTCACTTTAGCTGTTCACACCTGACAATTTTTGCATAGGCAACATATTATACACCCCGGAGGCGACTTCGTGCAATTTAATTTTTTTTAATACGCAATCATAACAATCACAGAATAAAAATGACAAAGATGTCAATACCAAATAATGACAAAATTAAAAAAATTAATTCAATTTATTTTAAAATGCCCCGCTACAAAAATGCGAAAAAAAAGAAGGTATGCAGTCGTCACGTTTCCCACAGCGAGGGAAGTACTGTCTAAACTCTTTAGACCAATTTTTCAATATCAATTTTTTCAATTTTTCGCTTTGGAATTTTTTTCTTTCTACAGTTTAACTATATGTAACTCATTAAATTTTTATATTTTGCAGTTTTTCGATTTGAAATTTCACGAATTTTCAATTTTTAATTTTCCATTTTTAGATTTTTCAGTTTTCAAGAAAAACAAAAATTCTATCTTTTTAAAAACATATTTCGCAGGATAATTTCTCATAGAAAAATGAAGATTTTGCAGTAAAACTCCGCCCTTCAACTCACGATGAATGAAGCATTCATCACAATTGAGAATGGGTGGGTGGGCGGGCCTTATATTTTGTCCATTTTTTCTTAATATACGAAGTCTTCTTTACCAAACAAGAGAAACTGACAACTGTTTAACTATCCTGTTGTTGAAAGAAAACTCTATATATTAA